TTTTTTTTTTTTTTACCTTGTAGGATAATATTCCCAAAGAGAAATGTTACATTTGTTACAGAATATTGAATAGTTCTGAAATTCCTTCCCACTAAAAACTAGTCACTATGTAATAGTAATTCCTTCTGTCTAAATCTTTTAGGTTAGAGGAAGAGGAGCATTTCTTTTCCTACTAAGGACAATAGATTGAGTCTGGGGGAATAAAACCACCAAAGGCCATATTTTTTTTTAAAAAACAAACAAAAAAAAGCTTATTTCATTTCAAAATTGGCCAAGGTGTAGTTGAAACTGTCTTAATGAATTTCAACTGGAGAGAAATGCCTAAGTCACCTTATGTACTTATAAGAGGATTGTTAGGGTGAGGGTTAAGTAAAGATTGCACAGAGAGAGAACAGTAGAGGACGTGAGGTCTTGTGACAGTGAAGGTATTCTGTCACAGTACTGTCTGCTTTGAGTTTGTCCTTGAAATTCTGACCCTCTGCTAAGTAAGACCTTTTCCCAGTTCTGTTCTGCTCTATCTCTATAAGAATGTCTATGTAGACTACTGAGTTGACAAGTTAAAGCAGCTGGTGGGAAATTATTCCTTGTACTTCTTTGACAGTAACTATATTATTGGCTTTGTAAAGGATCAGACTAAATTCGGCCTTGGATTTTTTTGGCTGTTGTTTCTGGGTTTATTAAATGTTGCCTGTAAATTTTTAGATCTTTAAGACTACTTTCTTACACTTAAAGTGTTTAGAAGAAGCACATTACTTAGTTGTTAGATATACTTTGTGAAGCATTTCTAGATTTAGCTAATTTCATTTCTAAAGTGTGTATGTATAGCAAAAGTACTCATTCTCCAGAACCTTAGACTCAGGCCACATCAGAGTACTTTTGGGATTTTCCAAGTATTTCTGAATTTTTTTTTAATGTCATTGTTGTGAATTTTGATACGGAACTGACCTTTATGGATCCTTTTGCTTTTGCCTAAATGTAGTTCTTACACTGACAGCATTGTATGTGCTTAGTTCAGGAAAGAGCAGGAGGGTCCTGCCAATTACACTAGAGAAATTTGGTAGTATAAATTTGGCAGACAGACTTCCTTAGGTGAGTGAGTGTCTAGTCTAAAATAATCTAAAAACACCTGGGTTATTAGTAGCAAGTGTTTAGTAATATCTGGGTGTGTTTTATAAAGCTTCTGGCACATAGTAAGTTCTCAGTAAATGCTAGTTGCTATTTTTATTATCCTGTGTAAAATACTTACTTAACTTAATTACTTTTGAGTCCAAGGATCCTGTCCAGAAATGCATAATTCTTTGCCTTAAATTTTTGCTTAATAAAAAGTATAGAATGACAACTTTGAAATATGTCTGTGTGCAGCAGAGGTCTTCTTCCTAACTGGCTAGAAACAACCATCTGTAACTTGGTAGAGTCTTATTTGTACGATTGTTAATATAGTCACAAGTATTTATACAGTTGTTAATGAAAAGTAATTAGTATAATCCCTATATAGATTTATGAACAACTAGTCATTTACTCTTTCCTTCATGTCAGAAAACTTATTTCAGTTGGTAGTTTTGTTCTGACAACTATAAGAAAATAGCTGAAAGTTGTATTAATGCATTCAGTGTTGATTACATAAAGTTCCAAAAGAAATTAGGCTGGCTTTTGATATCACAAAGTTAGGTTTTCGCCAAAAAAAAAAATTAGGTTCTCTGACTTCAAACTAAAGAGGATAATGGTTTTTTTTTTATGTTTGTCTACCATAACAATATTTTTTTCCTAAAGAAGCATGTATAAAGTATCTATATGTTCTTTTGTATTTTACTTTTTTAATTGATTAAAATTTCATAGGAAGAAAATTTGATTGTCTAGATAAAGATGTTGTTTATTTTCAGATTTCAACTATTGCAGAAAGTGAAGATTCACAGGAGTCCGTGGACAGTGTAACTGATTCCCAAAAACGACGAGAAATTCTTTCAAGGAGGCCTTCCTACAGGTATGGAATTTAATAGCTAAGATAATTTAAAGTCACAGTATTCTGGATTCCTTGAGAGGCTACAAGTGAAGAGATGTCAAAGACATTCAGTACCACATGGATTACTTCTCTCTGCCTTGAATTCTCTCAAATAAGCCTTGAAGCTCATTAAAATAATGAGCTGCTTCTTAAAATAATATAATTAAAATAATAAATACTTCTTAATCCAAACAGTTCTGCGTAAAATGTTTTTTACCTGGCTGTTTTGTTTTGTTTTTTTTTTTTTACAGACTGTACTGGCTGCTGAACTTCTGTTTAAAAGTTTGTAATGCATTTGATAAGGTTGCGGTATTTTCTAGTTCAGCATCAGTTCTCGTTATCTACTTCACAACACATTTTCCAGTTCTTTTTTTATACCATATAACTAAGCAGACATTGTTAACTTTAATAGTTGTTTTATGGTCATGTGGATATTCCCATACTATAGCTGTTTTTTTTTTTTAAGATTTATTTATTTATGCATACAAAACTGGGGTACAGGCCAGAGGTACAGTGGCTGTAAGAAGCTTCACCAGAGACAGAGCGGGGAGCAGAACAGGCAGATCGACAAAGTCCACTGCTGAGGGGAGCAATGGGCAGGCCAGGAGAGGTCTGCGGAGCCATGTGGGTCACCTCCGGGGCAGGTGGGATCAAACTCATGTTGAAGTGGCTTTAGCTTCTTGGTGCTGTGATTTAACCCGCTGCGCCACCAGGGAGGGCCCAGTTTTTGTATTTAGATATACAAGTTGTTCAGTTCATGCCTTGCCTCTAAAATAGGCCAAAAATGTGTTTTTATATGATGAGGAAATTGGTTTCAGTTAAATGTCTCCAGAAAGAACAAGTCTACAAATCTGCATAAACTTTACTTCAGAATTTAATAATTGTGAGATGTAATATTTTGTTGTTAGCCTAAATTATTTCTAAAAGGAGATTAAGCTGGCTTAAATTAGCCTAAATTATTTATTTTGATAATGTTTTCAGAGGCTTGGTTATTATTTACCCCCCTTATATTTGTCAACTAAACAAACCCTTTACACTGTCCTCAAAGTTAAATTAAAATCCTAAATGATAGGGGAAGCAAAAAGGATCTGAATTATGACTGCAGAAAAAGGAGTGAAAGTAAAGGGGGTTGCAATCCCCAGTGATGGCGGCAAAGGGTTGTGGGTAGTAGGTGTGGTATAGTAACATACCTCTGAGGATGTGTGAGCCTATTCCTCTAAATCGCCTGCAGTGTTATAAACCCGTGTCACCACGAATAAATTTCAAAGTAAAATAATAAAAGTCCTAAATGACAATCAGTACACTAATATTGAGGCCTTAAGAACTTTCATGTTCCCAAGTATGTGCTCTTGAGTTTTTGTACTCATAATTTCTTTTTTATTTTTTAAATATAGCTGGCTTGTAGATTTTAATGTTTAAGTATATCCTAAAGCAGATCTAACCAGGTATTAAGAAATAAGCTGCATAGAGGCTTCCGCATTGGTGGAGGGTTAAAGTCTCAGCTATCAAGCTGTCTTGCAAGCCATTGTGGCATGAGTTTGATACCCAGCCAGGGAGCCATCCCACATAAGGCACAGTAGACCTCTCCTGTCTCGCCCACTGCTCCCCTCAGCTGGTTATTTCAGTAGATACACCTGTTCTGCTCCACACTCTGTCTCTGGTGAATTCTCTCTCTCTCTCACACACACACACCCTTCCCCTCCTCCCACCCCCTGCACTTCTGTCCTATATCCCAGTTCCTGTATGCATAAATAAATAAAATGAATTGTTAAAAAAAAAAGAAAGAAAGAAAAAAAGAAAGCTGCTTGCCTTCTCAATATAAATTTTAGGCAAATTTTAGCTATAGACATTAGAAAATATAAACTTTATATTAAAAATATTACTTATTTTAATTGACTTACAACTTATATTCCAGCAAAAGTTATTTAATAGCACCCTAATAATTAAATCAGATTGACTGCCTGAAATCACAAATCTGTAGAGAAAGGGCTACTTGCATGAGAGGCCATAATGGTATCTTCCCTTTTAATCAGACCTCCACAATTGGGTACCATATTTTAGTTTTAATTTTATGGATTCTTGAAACCTAGTCTCTGTGTCTTAATTGTAACAAGATCTTGAACAATGTGCTTATGATATGCTTGTGAGGTTGGGATAATGAGAATTAATTGATAATAATGCAAGGTAAGTTTTATTGGAACAACCTGGCTTTACAGTGATTGGTTTACGCCCAGAGGAAGTCCTTAATGTGCTCTCTACTTGCTCTCATCTGACGACTTGATACTCTCAGTTGCCATTTACCAGAAAAACATAGAAGGCAACCTCACCAAATTTGCAGATAACAGCTTTGAAGGATAAATACCCTAGTGAAGGGAAGAATGCCTTCTATCACAAATAGGATGAAATGTTGATAGCAATCGAATACTTTCTGAACCTGGGTTTAAAATAGGAACAGATTCTAGATTAATAATTTATTCAGAAAAGATAATTATATACTTAATTTTTATTAATGAGATGATTGCTAAAAAAAGGTAACACGCTATAAGGCTACGCATCTAGGCCCTCTCTGGTGGAGCAGCAGGTTAGGATGCAGCACTGCAAGTGAGCCACAGCTGCTTCCTGGAGTTTGATCCCCACCCCAGAGGAGATCCACCTGGTGCAGCAGACCTCTCCTTGACCCACCCGCTGCTCCCCTCAGCAGTGCACTTCATTGATATGCCTGTTCTGCTCCCCACTCTGTCTCTGACTCTCACCACCCCTCTGGCTTGTACCCCTGTTCAGTATGCATAAATAAATAAATCTTTTAAAAAAAAAAAAAAAAACCTAGTGTCTAGATTAAGGAAGGGAATTATTTCCACTACTCAGAACACATGTGGGATATTCTTTAGGAGAAAGTAAAGTCATCTCCAAAGGAAGAGTGACCAATGTGATCTGGAGCAACAAGTTGAGAAACTTGAAAAGAGATGACTAAGAATGGTAACTGGCTTCATGGAAACAAGTAGTGGATTCATTTGCAGGGCTGGAGTAGTGCTTTTAAACTTTTTTTTTAAACCACAATAGGAAATATACTTTGCAATTCTCTGTGCACAGATAAATAATTGTACATATTCACATAAAAATACTTACATAGGTATATATACAGGCACAAAGCATACATGTAGGTATTTGAAGCAGAAGTTATACAAAGCAATACTCACCCTTATGTGTAATGTTTGGCTGTTTTTTATTGTTTTCTTAATGTTAGTTACAACAGTTAGTTTTTTTTTATGGACAATTTATGGGTTATGATCTATTTTGAATAACATCACTGCTCTAGAGACCAATACTGCTGAAAATGCTGTCCACACACCAGCACTGATAAGTTAGCACCTGATAGCAGATGCAAATTCTGGGGCAAGGACCTGGGAATCATTGTTAAAACGTATTCTTCAAGTGCTCCCTTTATGTAAAGTTTGTAAAACAGTCCTCTACAACAGTGCTACTCCAAAGTTTGTGATCTGTTGACAGCTGTCCACAAATCACTAGCCTGATTCCAAAAGTAACCTATCACTTACCATTCTTACAAAAAGAAATTTACTAAACTAGAACAAGCAGTATGGAAAAGAATATGAAATCTTAGAAAAGAGAAATATGATAAGGGGTACTAGAGAAAATAATAACTGAGATGAACTACATACAACTAGATTGTATGATGAGAGATTTGTAACCTGCAAAGGAAGTGAAAAAGTAACTCAGTGGAGAAGTTAGAGGTAAAAATTGTGAAAGATGAAAAGTCACAGAGAATAGTGAGTTGCGCTAATAGCATTTACAGAATTTCCAGAAGGGAAATTGAAAGTATTTAAAGCAACAATAGTAGAATTTTCTCTACAATGCTAGCAAAGGTAATTACATATGTAAATATAAAAGTTGCTATTATTATAGTTTTAGTTTGTAACTCCTTCCCCCCCCAACATGATTTTTGAAAAAATTGTGTGTTACTGAGCAATATATGGGACATATAATTGCAACTAACAACACAGAGGATCAGAATATGGTTTGACTGTTGAAATTATTCATCCAACCTGCTTGTTTGAAATTGAAGTGTCAGAAATTACTTGGTAAGGCTTTCCCCCCATTCTGTGATTTTGTTACTCACTTGAAACATGGTAAAATCTGTATGTATTCTTTATATTCAGGTTCAGAACTTTTCTTCTACTGATTTTTTTTTTAATATTTGAAACATTAGCCTGATTCAAAAGTAAAAATTATACCTAAAAAGGATAGCATGCACTCAGACTCAGAAGTGACCCCTCCTATCCAAGTCATTTTTTTTTTACTTCTTTCCCACCCTAGTAAATAACTAATCTCATTAAATTTTGTCTGGTTTATCCTTTCTCCTTTCTGATCTTTTTCTTGAATAAATTAGTGAATACATGTATATTTTATTATACAAAGGATAACATGCTAGTTCCACTATTCGGATAAACTAGTTTTTTAACCAATTCTTCTATGTGTGCTCATATAGCTTGTTTCTAGTATTTTGCTGTTACAAACAGTGCTACTATGCATATGTATTTTCACATTTTGGGAAGTATATCTTAATGAAAAGAATTGCTGTGTAAATAACATAGTTTTCTTAGGTACTCCAAATTCTTTTAATAAGGATCATTCCAATTTTATACTTCTAGCAGCAGTGTAGAGTATCTTTGCTCACAGCTTCACGAGTAGAATATATTTCTATACTACTTATCTTTTAACCACAGCCCGAGAGTTTTGCTTTTGGCCTTCTTCTGCCCTTCAGTTTGAGTTCTTTTTATTTTGGAGATACTAGCCATTTGTAGAATATCTAACATTTTCTTCTAGCATTGTTAATCATTTTTTTTTTTTAAGATTTATTTATTCATACAGAACTGGGGTACAGGCCAGAGATGCGGAGGGTGAGAGAGTTCACCAGAGACAGAGTGGGGAGCAGAACAGGCAGATCGATGAAGTACACTGCTGAGGGGAGCAGCGGGCGGGTCAGGAGAGGTCTGCCACGCCATGTTATCACCTCCGGCGCAGGCGGGGATCGAACTCATGTGGAAGCGGCTTTAGATTCTCAGTGCTGTGCTTTAACCCGCTGCGCCACCAGGGAGGGCCGCATTGTTAATCATTTTAATTTTATTTTTGGTGTTCTTTGCCATGCAAAAGGAAGTTATTTTTCTGTAATTAATATTTTTAATCTCTTATTTACTTGCACCTGGATTTTCAGTCAATATTTATATTCAGGTTAAAGAGAATTTCCCCTTTGTTTTTCCCTAGTTCTTATGTGGTTCCCTTTTGACATATATCCCTGGTGCATCTCTTGTTTATTCTTATAAATTCTTGGCTTTAAAGTTTTGTTCTAAACCCTAACTGCTTTCTGTCGGGTGGTTTTGTTTTATATTTTAAATCTTTTCATATTGTATTTATCTCTGGAATGTTACTTTTATATTAATTAACTAGTTCTTTATATTTCTAGGAAAATTTTGAATGACTTATCTTCTGACGCACCAGGAGTGCCGAGGATTGAAGAAGAGAAGTCTGAAGAGGAGACTTCAGCACCTGCCATCACCACTGTAACGGTGCCAACCCCCATTTACCAAACAAGCAGTGGCCAGTATAGTGAGTACTGGATATTTCTATCTTGAAAAGCAAGGGTGGAAATGAGTGGCTATGTTTTCCTTTTATAGGAATAATATTTTCAACTCTTTTCTCAGTTTTGATTATATTACATATTCTTTACTGTTCAAAATGCAAAGGTCTAGAGTCAGAAGTATTGTCTTCCTCACGGCATTAATTAGGATCACTAGTGAGCCCTTTAGATGGTCCTTTGATGTGTTTATGCATGGAAAGCTTTGGAGGTTTTTTGATTAACCTCTTGAAACTTTAGATATTAGTTTCAAGATGTGTTGTTAATAGAGAATATGAATTTCTTCAGATAAAGAAAATAGTCACTCTGACTACATTTAAGACTCAAAATGGTCTCATTAACCTGTATTAATAAATTATCTTCCTTCTAAAGGCATCATTTTAAATCTTCATATTTAATTTATCATGATAGTAGGGATAGAATCACTTTGTTGCAGTCTTAACAGCACCATCGGTTGTTACTCCTTTTAATATAAGAGGCAATGTAGTCAATTAGGATGATGGAAGCAGAAGGACTTCTCGAGAGGACAGTTTGCTTTTTGGCTCTCAGAAGGCAAAGGTTTCATTTGAAAAATTATTAAGTTGTAACTTCTGTGATGTCCCAGACACTTGGTTCTCGCTTCTTTATCCTTCACTCAACTCAATTACAAAGTACTTTAGGGGTTTTGCATTTGTTGGATCAAAGGCTGTTGTGTGAATATAGTTTGTCTTCCATTTTCCCAAGCCCTTTTGCTTCCCAAAGTGCTTCACACATTGATTTCATTTTGATTTATTTATTAAATCCACTACTGCCTGTTATATACAGTGTCGCCATCTCTCTGTTAATTAAAAATTTAATTTACACAATTAAACCCCTTTGCTGTATTGTAGTTTTCCAATGCCCTGGAGTCGTTTATATCAGAAATATGTATAAATGTCACAGTCCCAAGTTAAGTTTTCAATTACAGCTCAACCTTCGTTGAGAACTCTTAATTTACATTTCAGCAGCTTTCCAAGCAACAGATATTTTAGCTCTCAGAACCAAACCATTTGACATTAAGTAGAAACCACTTCTTTTCATTGGGGTGACACTGGTTTGCAGCACTGTGTATGTTTTAGGGGTGAGGGCTGACTCCCACCACCAAAGCATCCATCATCCTCCACAGATCATTGAGCTTCTTCCATCCTTTTCTCTGGACCACAGTCTCCCCTTAGCCTCACTTCTGCAGTTAGATTCCAAGAGTTTGGTTTGATTTTGTCTGTTCTTTTGCTTTATTGCTTTATATTACAAATGTGAATGAAACCACCTGTTATTTTTTCCCTTGGAAAGGCATTTTTGAATAAACTACTTCTCCCTTCCTTAAGCTTAGTGCACCTTTTTTTTTTACCTTCTTAATTTTTTTGTTGACAGAAATAAACAGGCATTGAATATATGTATTGCAGGTTTTTTTAGCTTTCTGTCCAGCTAAGTTGAGTTAGTAAAGATGTGTTCTAAGACATTAAATCATGATCTTTACTACCTACTTCAGCATACTCCTTAGGAACAGTGATTTCACCATTACAGTGATAACTTGACTTTAAAAGCATACTCTTTAGAAATGAGACATATCGGAATCTCAGATAAGGAAAAAAAGCTTTGAAAGGTAGGTGTTTAATTTGGCATGTTTCTATCCTCCAGCAATTAAAAATTGCCAGCTTTAAATGGTTAACATTTGGACATTTTTAAAGCTTTATTCATTGTCATTGTCTTCTGTTCCCTCTGTATATACACATATGGTCTTGATAAAATTGATTTAATGTTATCTTTTTGGTTGTCAGAATCAATAATGACCACTTACACAGTCAAGTGGTAGAGATATATAGTACTACTAATAATTTCATCCCTCCTTAGTAGTGGATGTATCTTATAATTCTTTTTTATTTTATTTTTATATAAATATATTTTTATATACATGTTAATCATTTTGTACAAGTGAGATCTATGTTATTTAACTACCATGGACAGGTATATATGCAAATAGTTATGTATATTCTTTCTTTAACTACATTTTGTTTCACTATATAAATACATTTATTTAAACATACCTTCTACCCACAGACACTGATAAACACTTAGGACATTTTTGCTGTTTGAAACAATGCTGCATGAACATTCTTAGGTGTGGAGTAATGTCTCAGTGGAATAACATCTAAGTGGGAACTGTTGAGTTGAAAGTATATACTGCCCAATGAAAATTCCCCAATAGACTCTATGATGATTAAGGTCCATAGGGTATTTCAAGTTACTTTGTTCACTTTGAGTGAACATTTGTCATAGGTTATGCATTGCTAGCTGAGTTACAGAACAGAATGCAATACTGAACTGCTTTATTGTTTATACGTTGAAGTAACTTTATTGAGTGGCTGTTATATGCCTATTTCTGTGTTAGTGCATGAAGATAGGATAGAAAACAAAATCATATTTCCTATCCTCAAGTTTACTTACTAGTGGTACAGCATATATTAGCTAAAACATTATGTACTTAAAACTAATATAAAGGAAGTGTAGAGCTTTGGGAAATATGGTACCTCACTAGAATCAAGTAACTTAACTGCTAAAGGAATGTAAAATTTTCCCCTTTTTTCTTATTGTTAACAGGCATCATTATGAGTTATTATGTAGTTATTAGAATACATTTAAATTAGAAATAGAAACTGAATTAGAAATAGAATTCAATTAGAAAACCTGAATGTGGGTTCCTGAGCAGTGTTACTTAAGTAAACAAAATCCTTCTGTCAGTATTATTTGCTATAATAACTTCTCCTTCATTTTGTCTTGCAAGTTATTCTATGTTAAGTTTAGCATTTCGTTAAAGTCTTATATGCTATTAAACTTGTAACCATAAACTCCATTGGGTTTTAGTTGCTATTACCCAAGGAGGAGCAATACAACTGGCTAACAACGGTACTGATGGCGTACAAGGCCTGCAGACGTTAACCATGACCAATGCAGCCGCCACACAGCCGGGCACTACGATCCTCCAGTATGCACAGACCACTGATGGGCAGCAGATCTTAGTGCCCAGCAACCAGGTTGTTGTTCAAGGTAAGAGAATACTGAATTCACAAGTACAGTATATTTTTTGAAAGATTAAAATTTTATAAACATTCAGGGAAAAAGTAAGTATGATACAGCAAAACACTGTTAAAATGTAGTGCTTTCTCTTCATCATAGATAACATTTTCTGTGAACTTTTTCATTATTCCCATTGGACCAAAATGTCATGGCATAAAAACAACTATTAACATCTAACCTTAGCACCTTTAGCATTTGGGACTAGGAGAAACAAGGAGAGAGAGTGAAATCAGGAGATAGGAAAGCTAGATTCTAGATCCAGCTGCAGAGAATGGCTGTGTAACCTGAGTAATAAATCTCTTTGAGGGGCCCTCCCTGGTGGTGCAGTGGGTTAAAGCACAGCACTAAGAAGCTGGAGCTACTTCTGCATGAATTCGATCCCCATCTGCCCAGGAGTTGACCCACATGGCGCAGCAGACCTTTCCTGGCCTGCCCACTGCTCCCCTCAGCAGTGTACTTTGATGATCTGCCTGTTCTGCTCCCCACTCTGTCTGTAGTGAGTCCTCCCACAGCTCCAGCACCTCTGGCCTGTACCCCAGTTCTGTATGCACAAATAAAAATAAATCTTTAAAAAATAAATAAATAAATAAATCTCTTTGGGGTTCATTTTTTTTATGTGTCAAATGAAAATGGTGCTAAGAATCTTTAGAAGCTCAGAATTCTGTTTTTCTGCTTTTTATTCAATATAAATTTATATGCTCTTTTCTAAGAATTTCAATTTTTATTCCAAATGAAAACACTGCATTCTGAAAAATCTTACACCAGTATTCAAGTCTGCTGGTCTGTGGAGAAGCAGTAGTAGTTAAATGTTTGATGATTCTAGAAATCACTTTTTTAACTTTTTGTCTTCCTATTTGTTTCAGACAGCTTTTTGAATAGGAGTGGGCCCTTTTTCTCTGAATCCATTTGACTGTTATTAGAATATGATGAATGCATATTGAGGCAATAGTAGTCTTTTTCTAAAAATATGTTGATTATAAATAATGTTTTGCCTCTAGAGGTCATGACAGTTGTGTCCCTTCCCGAGGACAGAAATTTTTGAGTAATCATAAAACACCAACTAGGGAGAATCTTAATTTATTTAAAGGACCCTAATGTATACTTACAGAATATATTCTATTACTAAACAAATAATACTTGAAGAAGATAATATTTTGCTTATTAATGGGAGTAAAACACCTTTTCACTTTACATGCAGGTACTCAAAAATTGTAAAGCAGGATGTCAGTGAATTTGAATTCTGAACGTCAGTTTGAAGATGGTAACATATTTAGTATATAAATTATTTCCATTCAAACTACACATTTTTAATTGATAATAAATATAGCAAATATGGATAATTTTATAAAACCTTCAAATTCAGATATTTTTAGTTTCCTTATTCTTAGGAGGGCGTATTATTATTAAACTGTTTTTAGAAGCAATCTGACAAAATAGTGATTGTGTTTCTCTTCACAGGTGATGAATCATTTAGTTAGAAAGACAAAACTTTATTTAGCCATTATAATTTCTATTAAAACATTTGTGTTTGCAAATAATATAATTGGCATCAAGTGGTACACTTTTTCATAGTGTTTTGTTTCAATTAGAAATTTACAATAGTTGACCATAATGCTTTATTTTCTCTTCCATTTTGCTATTTTATGAAAAATCATGGTCGTTTTTATGTCGTGGCAAGAGTCTACTTGAAATTTTTTAATATGAATTTACCAATATCAAAGGAAGACATTGAGGACTGTACTCTATCTAGGAAGATCATCCACGCTGTGCCCTACTTACCGTTTAGACTTAAAGTTGGTAAGCATGTTAAACAACAGAACAGAACTGCATTCCAATAAAAAAATGTAAGACCCAGCAGGCATAGGTTAAGACCTCTTTCACCCAAGTGTCTATAAATGCACTAAATTGGGAATTACTTCTCAATAATGACTAAAAGAGTGCTGATTCTTCTAAAACATGTTAGTGAGAATCATCTTGTCCTTGTTTTCCCTCTTTTAATGGAAAGTGTATGCTTAGATGGATGTTGCTACAGGCAGGTAAACAACTCACAGTGCTCAGTGTCTTACACCATGCGGACTATTTTGATTTTCAGCTGCTTCTGGAGATGTACAAACATACCAGATTCGCACAGCACCCACTAGCACCATTGCCCCTGGAGTTGTTATGGCATCCTCCCCAGCACTTCCTACACAGCCTGCTGAAGAAGCAGCACGAAAGAGAGAAGTTCGCCTAATGAAGAACAGGTACTGCATATGTTGCATCTACTTGGATTGTTACAGGTCAAATACATCTTTAAGATCTGCCAGATGTGTCCTTTACATATGCTGACAAAATGATATTTGTGTTGAAGTTCTTTCTGGTAATATTGATG